TCTGATTATTATCAATGTTGAAAACAGTTGTGCTGCACAATATTTCTGTGGAAGCTGTGATACATTTTATTTTTCAGGATTCACAGATGAATAGACAGTTCAGAAGAACAGCATTTATTTGAAATAGAAATCTTTTGACACATTATAAATATCTTTACATGATACTTTTGATCAATTTAATGTGTCCTTCATGAATAAAAGTAATTTAGAATCTTGGAAATTCAGTTTTCGTCAGGTGTGGAATGAACAGCGACATTTGGAGCTCTATAAAGTGACTTCATAGAATGTGTGTGTTTCTGAACGTGTGAACTGGACAGGTGCATGCGTGTGTGTGTTTTGTGGAATGGCCTGAGGCCCCGGGACCCCTGTGACCCCCTCCTCACCGGACTGGACATTACAAATGTCCCAATCCATCTCTCTGTCCGGTCGCCTCCCGCTGACTGATGGTCCTCAAACCTCACAGCTGGAACCAGGAACAAAAGATGAGAAAAATGAGCCGTTTGATTGATCTGGTGTCCACAGCCATGAGATTACCTGCAGAAACACACAGAGAGAGAGAGAGAGAGAGAGAGAGAGAGAGACAGATAGAGGTTCCCCTGAATCCTGCTGGATGGAGGAATTCTGGTTCCTGATTGTTTCTCTGAGTCTCTCTCCTTCGAATAGTAAGGAAGAGTTAGGAAACCTGTTAGGAAACAGACGTTGTTGTGAGAGATGGAGAGCTGTACATTTTATAAGAGGGACTAAGAACGTGTTTTATTCCTCATTCTTAATCTTTTTCCAGTGGGATTGTGTTTAAACATCCTGGTTTTCCATGTACTGTTTTTGTATTTTGGCAAATTTTTAAGAAAACTGTATTTTGGCAACTTTTGGATGATTATGTAACTCTGTGGACTAGCGTATGTGAATATAAAAGCACAAAGACTGCTATTTAATCACTTAACCAGTGTTCCAACATTTAATTTGAGAAAACTATAATCAAATACACACAGAAGTTCAAAGATATTCACTACAACCCGCCAAAATAAAAATTCTATTTAATTTGTAGAAATTGTGACAGATATTTTACTATTGTAGAGTAAAATGTACTTCTCAAAGTCCTAAAAATAATAATATAGTTTATTAAAACATTATTTAAGGAATATCACACATTTGTTCCTCCATGTTTTACGTTAAACACGAAATCTCTGTTGTGTAGTGCTTTGTTAGACAAAAAAATGAAAAAAACTATTTCATAACATTTGAAAAGATTAATTAAATTGTTAAAGTTTTGTGAATTCATTTGATTAACACTGTTTTTTTTGTTTTTTTTTTACAAAAAATTGTTATTGCAATTCAGACAAATTAAAAGACAACACAGAATTTCTGAAAAAAACACTATTTCTGTCAGGACCACTATCGTCAAAGATGATTGACAATTAGCATACAGTTTGGATTGGCGGTATGGTTCCGTTCTGGGCAAGAACTCCCTGCGCATCCATGCAGCCTAGCATGGATGAGAGCAGGGAGAGCAGCGATACCCCCCC